GTTGGGGACGATTAATTGCGGTGTCAAGACATTTAAATGTGAAAGGGTCACTAAAACAAAAGAAATCCCTCATGATCATGTCAATTAAGGAAAGAGCTTTTTTCTTCATCTCGAATGCATAGAGATTAAATAAAAAAAATATTTGAATCAAATATTATTACGAGATTTTTAGTTTGGATGGTGTTGTATGCGGCGTTGCCAGTAAATCCAGAAATAAGGTGTATTGAATGGATTTTATGGATAAGCAATTTCTAACAGTTTGATTGCTGAATAGTTCAATCGATGTTTATGTAAATAGGAGACAAGTTAAAAATATAATAATATAAATCGTATCAGGTGCTCGAGACTGAACTGCTATGGAAATGCTGTAGTCACTGCGGGCTACCTTATTTATTTATTTATTTAAGCAGGATATTCTCAACGGAAATATAATTTTAACGACCCCATGATATTAGACACATATTAGTCATAGTCATAAGTAACAATCACAATATGACAATAATAATAACAATAGTTGTTGTTTGTTTTTATAAACAAAAAAAAACATTAATAATAATCACAAATTATTTATATTATTAAAGCATGCATTAAAAATACAAAATTGTTATTGCAAAACCAATTTACAGTTGTCGCCGCTTAATGTAATCACTTTGGTACGGGACATTACTACAGATAACATAATCCGATTGATAACACTAAACGAAAGTTAAAAAAGTTATAAAAAATAGTAAAACCTGCGTTACATATGTAGGTATAAATTGGAAATTTAAAATTTAAAAAAATAAAAATAAAAATGTATAATATGTATTATGTACGGATGCATACAAACGTGATACTGGTCGACGGGCAGCGACGGTACTGTCTTAATGCCGTACGAACGAAAAGTAGATATAAATGTGATATCAATGTGTATACTGTATAGACATTTATATCTTTATTACAATTTTTGTCTTTATTATGAGACATTTGGAGAAAACTTTCATTGTATGTTACAAAATGATGATTTTACGACCTCAAACTGATAATATTATGCGGCGTATTATTGATTACAATAGCCGAAATAATTTACACATATATGTATACATCCAGCCCGTACTTATATTTTTTGATAACAATAAACGTTTGATAAGATTAACCGTGATTATAAAAAGCGGCGACCACTGTACATTAAACCTAGCTACAAGGCCCATATTGTAGTCAACTGTGATCTGAGATTAATTAGTACGAGAAAATGGCCGTATACCATTTGCGCATTGCCAGTTTACCTGCACCAAATTATAGTACATCAAATGCACATCGATATTCTGAACAATAGAAGGATATGAAAAAAAATATTACATAATGTGTATGCACTATGCATGGTGAATAATTTAAAATTTTTAAGTTTAAAAGTAATAAGAATACATAGGTAGTTTCTACCCTTAGGAACCCTAAAAAAAAAAATATAGGTACTTATAGACTTATAGTTTGAGTAAAAATGAATAAAAAAATAAAATTGTGTTCATTTAAATAATGGGCCCGTGTGGTCAAAGTTAAAATTCAAATATACATGTAGTTTGAGTAAAAATTGATAAAAAAAAATCAATTGTATACAAAGCAATTTATAAAGTACTAAACATAATATTATAAATCAATACTTAGTACATTGTAATGTTCCGTTATTTTTACAAAATGAAACCTGTTTATTTCACCGCTAGTAAACTTAAGCCTATGTTTTTGAGTGTAGTCAAGTTTTTGAAGCACACAATATAACAAATATATTTTAAAACGTAAATATCCATACAATATTTGAACATTTTAATTTATAGATGATATGTACATTTGAAGACCTAAAGTTAGAAATCCACTTGAGCTTTTGGGTGTACACCTTCTTTTCAGTTTTATTGTTAAATGATATTGATGCGCAACGACGCATAACCGAAAAATCGGACGATGCTCAACTGTTTTACGAAAAAGGTCAAAATTAACAACAGTGATACGCAAACGACCACCGGCGGACAAAATGGTGCATAGAAGGTATTTTATTGCCCGGTTCGACGACTAGGGACAAGGAAGTTAATTGAACTATTATACTGAGAAATTGATAATAGGTATGTACATATATTAAAGTAAAAGTAAATAAATCGTGTTTAGTTCCTATTTTCCTTGACCAGAGGTCCTTTAATTTGGCCAATGCCCAATAATAGTAGTTTCCCTATTTGTGAATAGACATAAGCCCTCGAATCACAGTGTGAGCGGCGCACTATTCTGTACATTGGTTTAGGTCACTATTGGATACAATATTTCTATATGATAACAACTTTTTAATAATTTGATCCTTATATATTAGTAGTTATTATGATCGCGATTCGATTTTAATATGTACAACAACAACAAGTTGTTATTTTTGTTCAAACCTTGGAGTAATTTCACTGTAGGGTTTTTTGTGAAATTAACATATTTCTAATTTATTGCCAGTTTTGTGAGTACCTGCGCAATTCGGAATAACCCGTCCAGTTTATGTCGTCACTCGGCAAACACGATCTTAACAAATACAGACCCGATAATCAGTGGAGTAGTGGGGCGTATACCCAATTATGCGTCTGTAAGTGCGTCACAATTATAGAATAACACATGATACGAGGGGAAACGCGTATAGGAATGAATAAATTCTATAAAACAATTCGATAAATTATTTTTATATTAGTAAATAGAAATGGTAAACAAACCAGCTTATCGATTTAACGGTATTCATAGTATTTTAGTATAATATATGAATTATATGAACGACAGTACATCACTGTAATTAAACATTTAATATCTACTATGACGTGTGACCTTTAGGTTTGTAGGATAAAATGCCCCGGAAAGAGAAGAATCGAAATTAAAATATGGTAAAAAAAAGCGCCTTACCAACAAACACTTAACATTCAATGATAATGTTCTCAACATTTCCAATTGTTCTATAAACTATCAAAACCGTTATTATTGATATTATTTATTATTAAATAGTTGTATGGAAAGGTATCCGGACAATTTCCCCCCGGACATTTTCCCCCCGACTGTTTTTGGCGTAGTAGGACATTTTCCCCCCGAAAGATGTTCCGATGCGGACATTTTCCCCCCATTTTTTCATAAATATAATAAGACATAAAAAAATTGTATATAAGTAAAATAGGTTAAAAATTTCAATTTTTTTTAAATTATATTTTACTGAAAAAAAAAATTTCTTATTAAATAATAAATAATAAACTTAAAAAAAAAATGGTGGGAAAATGTCCGCATCGAATATATATTGGGGGGAAAATGTCCTACTACGCCAAAAACAGTCGGGGGGAAAAAGTCCGGAGGGAAACTGTCCGCCATTCGTATGGAACACTGTTTTCAACAGGATGTATTGTCGTGCTTCGAATAAGTTTAGTTCAATTATAAAATATAATATAATATTTTAACTTTACAAATTAGTTAAAATCTTTACGCTAGTAATACTATTAAAAACAATATATCACATTCTTTTAGACTAAAACAGGTATATTTTATTACTTCTTTATTATTAAAAAAATTACGCGAAACCTAAAAATTAATAACTTCACTATCTTGTATTATCGTACATGTTTTATTATTTTAAAGCTCTTTTAATCGAATATTAAATTTCAGTAATAAATACAATTGTTATTTATAATTGTTTTTTGGTCTTTATTAAGTATTTAATTCATTCCTTAGGTATGGTATTAGTATAATACAAGTATACAACAATATTATTTAAACGTAGGAGTTAGTATTAATGCAATCCAACATGGTTGTACAAATAACTATATAATGATTAATGGTTCACCTCACAACATAACAATTTAAAAATAATTAATTCTGATAAACGCAGACAATAGCTATCACACATTTGTCAATACTTTGCATCGAGGAAGGAGAAAATTAGTGCCCAAAGAAAATATGCATACAAATGTGATAACAATGTGCATCGCATTTGCTATGTGCAATTTCAATTTCCAATTTCCAGTGTGAATATGTAGGAACTTAGTAATAAGTACATCATATATAAGTATATAACTGTTACTTGTTCTGCAGTTTGACAAAAAATTTCTGTATACGGAATACAATGTCGTGAACAACAATGGAAAAAATATTTTTACAAGACGTATTTTAATCGTGTGTGAAACAATCATTTCTGCATGGCTCAAAATGATTACAAATCAAACCGCGCGGATGGTTTATCGTACCATGAATCTGTATAGCTCTTCTAAGAAAACTAGTTGATGAATTATAAAGCATAATACTTTAATTGTTAGTGATTACTTATTACTTAAAACTTATTAATTTCTTATTTTTTTATTATAATTAAATTAATTATATTTTATACACCTGTTGAGGGTAATTGCTGAATTAAAATTTTTTTTAAAGTTCAAATTGATCTGTTAATAATACGATTATTATTTTAATATAAATTATTGATTTAATTGTTTTCAATTTCTATTTCATTTTGAGTATCATAAACAAACACTTTCAATATCAATATGTATTTTGCAAATTATAAACAATTATTTTCAACTTCATTATAAATGTTGAATATTATTAACATGCATTTTCGATTTTGTTACCCCTTTTTATCTTTTTAAAGATTTTTAACGGCATTTATCGATGTTTAAAATTGATTTTCAAATCGATTTCAAGCCTTGGTTTTTTTACATTACTACGTTTTATGAATTGAGTTGAAATAAATTATTATTATTATATATATAATATATATAATCGTACACTACAATCTAAAATGTAAAATGATATATTTATTGATATTCCGCCAAGAAAATCTTTAAAAACACAAAAAATACAACCTCAAAAATAGAAAAATAAAATTGTTAATGCAAAAAAAAAACATGCGCATAAAATGCACTTGTATTATCAACAATAAAACAATATTATCATACATTTTATTATGTATTTACTTTGGAAGATGGTTATTTTTTAAGATACAAGTATGATGTATATTTGGCAAAAAGAAGCAGTCAAGGACGACGAACTACGTAGGTACCGTAGGTTTTTTTTTTCAAAAACCAATTCTACGTCAATAATAATTACGCCTTATTCCCTCTTCTTATCCGCTACTTTTCCAGTATAAATAGTAGCTATCTGTGGTCAGAGCTTCAGAGGTACTTCATACTCATCGTCTCAGCTGAGCTGTATACCAACTGCACAGGTTCAGATTTTGTCAGGTAAACAAACATTAAGTGTATTTTTTGTATTCAGTTTTGCAAACGCATCAATACATTTCTAATTCGTTTTTAAGAGTTCAAAACTAATAGTTTCAATTTATTAATTTTGTGTTCCAGTCAACTTTATTAACTTACTCACTCTGCCTATCGTTCACGTGCGCTCATCAAAACGCGATATTAACCAAGTCGAGCAATCCCGATCACTACAGAGCAAGATGAATAAATGCCTATTGATTCTGGTAGTGGTGGCGTGTCTTTTGGGAATGATCGAATTGGCGTACGGAGATTGTCCAGGAAATTGCTGGTACTACAGGTCGGAGGCAACCAAACATTGTTCTTCTCCAACAGCGACCAATGAGTGCAGCGGTTATGACCTTTTTGGCCTATGTCGATGTTGGTGTTGTTAGACTTGTCTTGCTCGATTGATTCATAAGTATGCCAACAATTTTATAATGTACAGATGTGAGTAATTTATTTTATCCGAATTCGGTGATAATTATAGTTAATACTTTGCTCATGTTTGTTTTACGGATAATGGCTGTAATAATAAACTTTATTATTTTATAAGTTATGTTTTTTATGTCATACTTTCACAACTTACAATATAATACTAAATAACTATTTATTATTATTTGTATTAATACTTACCAATTATTTTGATTGTAATTTTATTAATCATAAAATACTGAAAAAGTAGGTATAATACTGTATGAAGACATCTATTTTGTTTTTAACTAATGAACATTGTTAAACATATCGATTTACTGTTGTGTTAAATGTTTGTGTTGTTTTCGAATAAAATGATGTACACTCATATATCTAAATATTATTTATCCAATTTTATGAAATTAATTCTATTTACAATAGTTAATATTGCACTATTGACATATTAAGACAGCATGCTGACTTATTAATATCATTTTAGATAGCTATATCCGGTGATACGATAAAATTGAACTGTGATTGATTGTGGTCCGAACGTGGTGTAGGTGTGGGTTGAGTTGGTGAGCAGCACAACACAACCACTTTATGTACAATAAATGCGATATTTTATAAAGTATATCCAAACAATAATATATCAGAGTCTACGAGTAATGAGTATTTATCAGACATAAGATGTCCATGGGACATCTTTGAGTGACCTAAGTTGGTATTTGATGTAGTCTGTAAATAATTACTTCATCTTTGCGATTGAATAAGTGGTGCTTAGACCAGTATGCGGTGGTATTTTTGACTCCTCTGAGTTTGTTATTTTGCGTACGTTGCCATTCTGATCCCCCCAAAACTTTTATTCATTCGTCATTTTAATAAAATAAAACTATGAAAACTATGTCACTATATTATTGTACTTAATTATTATTAAATCCTTCAAAACTATTTACCACATTTTACAGTGTAAACTATGTTGTTAAAGAAAATGTTAATTTTGTATACCTAATTGCATTAATCGAAATACGTTGAATCACTATAACAAATATGTTATACCTTATACTATAAAAGTCCTATGAAATTAATAATCTGTAAAAAAAATTACGAGTACAGAATATACAGCTATGTATTATGCTCATACAATTGAAATTGATAATTAATATAATTTTTAAATTGACATGCCACTCTGTACTCACAAAAATCATGTTTTTTACAACCGAAAATTTTTTTAAATCTTATTTATTGTCAATGTCACATATTATATACATATTGCAACCAGTCAAATTAAAGAAGATATAATAATACTCGACAAGAAAATCAATTTTGTTTTTAGAAAATTAAGTTTGTTAAACGTACAATGTCTCTGGCGTGTCTAATATCCACCTCCACCTTTGTGGCATGAGCTAAATAAATAAAATATAGAGGCGGCACGACAATGTATATTATTATCTCGAAGCAGGAGTTGCCCGTTTAAACAGTGTAATTGTCGGTGTTCTTTTTTCAACCGTATCTAATTATAATGATTTACTGAATCAATTAAAAAGGAATAAATTGAAAAAAAATCAGAAAAATTTTGCAGATGATCCTCTTCACTCTTGCTAAAATCATCGAAATCGTACTGTTAGAAATTAAGTTATTAAAGGAAAAGCGCAAACTTTTTAATGAGAAATTATAATGAAATTTGGAATCGCGAAGGCTGCATCTCGCGTTGTCGTGCCGACCGGTTCCCCCGCTCCATTTCGTGTACGCAGTACAAAATTGTTGCCATTCTCACATTCACGTATTTATTATTTTGTTTCATTTCGTTATCAACTATCGCTTATTAAATTAAATTATATTTTATAAGTAAGTGTATTGTGTATTAGACAGTGTGTTACCTTTGACGATGTTCGAAATTATAAATATGTCAATTTAAGCTTACAAACAAAGAATGACAAATAAATAAAAGTACATAGTGATAAAATAAATTCTCCAAAAAAACTGTAAATAAATAAATGCTAAGTAAATTAAATTTATTAAAGTACGCACTTATTTCAAAAACCAACAAGTCTACTAAACAAAAATCAAATCTTTGGTTTCGATGTAATGACATCAGTAGTAAGAAAGAGAGATAGCCTCGTGGTGGTAAAAACGTTTCTATAATAAACATAGAGAGAAAAAATTAGAACAAAAATATGGAGGGAAATAATTTTGTTGAAATAAAGTGGGATATATTGTATTTGTATTAGGAAATACAAATTTTTTGAGAGGATATTAAATAAAGGAATTTTATTGAAAAAAGTGTTATGAAAAAAAATTACACAGAGTAATTGAATTAAATAACTATATTGCGTTGGAAAAAGAGGAAATAACTAATTGAATATTATATAAAGGTGATTAAACAATGTTATATGTGAGTTTTTGGGAATATAGAAATAAATAATTGAATAGTTAGAAGTGAGCACAAACATTTTTATAAAGCATAATTAAAAAATAAAAAGAGTTATATGTGATGAAATATTGAGATAACAATTAAAGTGAAAAAAAATATGCAAGTAATTTTAAGGCTAGTCTAAAATAAGAAATAATAATAGATAAATATTAACAATTGTTTTGCAATAATTGTTTTAATAAACTAACAAATAATAAATAGATAAAATCACATAATAATTAATATAGAGATAGAAATAAAGTCTTATATAAGACGCGCGTCACAATATTGAGTTTACGTCGATATTCAATAAATAGTAATAAGATATTTTTATTTAAATACAGATAACAATTATTTAGAAGAAGAATAAATAAATACAATATTTTGTTTGTTGGGGAAATAAAATTTAAAAAAATAAAAATAAAAACATTTATTTTAATTACGATATTTTTAATGAATAAAATATATATTGATGAATCATGATTCAGATAATATATCGGATAGTTCAACGGAAGATTCAACCGAAATAGTTGAGAATAAGACGAAAGAAGTAGCCAAACAAGTAGGGCAAACCGACGAGGTGACCGCAGTTGTTGCCGATACAAAATATAACTTTAAAACTGAACTATTAATTGATTTAAATTTAGCTGGAGGTTATCTAGGGGCAAACGATTTTAACAAAAATAGATTTTCATAAAAAATGGGGGTAGACCTTGAACAGAATTAATTGTATCACCAACGAGAGCCAATACTAGGTCAGGAAGAGGAGGAACACGATCCGATTCGGACGTAATACACGTAGAGTTAGGTGTATAAACACGTAAAAATTAAAAATCAATTATTAATTAATAAAACCAAATCAAAAATGCATAATTCAAAAACTATTACGGAAAACATTCCCCGCTATACAATTAATATGACTTCTTAAAACCAAGAGCCAGTCGAACAAGAGAAAAGTCTCGTTCACACGCAATTTACAGTAAATCCCGCAATCACTCCAACTGTTCCGACGCCAATACAAAGCCAACAAACTAATAATGGTACACTTACAACTAAGCTACTAAATTCAAATAAATCCAACAATTACATTACATAACCAACAAAAAAAAAAATCCAAACTCTCAAATTCTATAGAACTAATTGTAAATAAGCTGGACGAATCATTAGTACCAGCTAAATCCACTTTCAATCAAATACCGAACCTTGAAATAACCCATTCCCAGCTTCGGTTAGGTTAGGCTAACCTAACCTTTTTTTTTGCCGTTTGGAACCGACAGCGCCGCGGAGACTGCATGCGCATTTCTTCCCCTACGCCGTCAGGCCAACCTAACCTAGGCTAACTAACCGGTTTCCAAAAAAAAAAGATGAACTCGAACTATTAATACATTATCATAATCCACAAATAATATGTCTTCAAAAATCTAACTTTAAAGAAAATTAAATAGCCCCCCTCGAAAATTACAAAGGTTACAGTAAAACCCGTCTAGAAGCAGGCAGAGCTAGTGGAGGTACGGCTTTCTACGTTAAAGCATTTATTAAGCATTTATACCTAGTCAAACCATAAACATCCGCAGTGAACTAGAAGTCCTAGCGGTATAAATTGAATCGAAAGAAAAACTCACAATATGCAACATATATCTCCTTAACTATAACAAATTCAGCACAGTGGATATATAAGAACACATCATTCAACAACTACCCACGCCCTTCATCCTCTTAGGTGTTTTTAATGCTCATAGCCTTATATGGGGATCAATTAAAACAGACCCCAGGGGTAAAGAAATTGAAAAACTACTTGAAAAGGATAACAAAGATTTACTCAACGACACAACACCTACCAACATTAATATAGCTAACGGAAACTTTTCATGCATTGATCTGCCTATCTGTTCATCCTCACTAGCTCATAGAATTGAATGGAAAGTACTACCTACCTGACATATTCAGTAACGATCATAATCCCATCAAAATATTTTTCATCCCCAGGACAGGCGAAACAGACAAAAACAAAAGTCCAAGACGGGACCTTAAAAACCCAAACTGGACACTTCAGCAAAATGGTTGATGAAGAAGTTTCCAAATTATCCACCACTAACCAACTAAACATTAATTATATAGTAAGAACATTCACATCAATATTAACTCTGACAGCGGAAAAAACTATCGGAAGCCACACAAATCAAACCTTTAAACCAAAAGTTCATTGGTGGAATGATACGATTAAAGAAGCCATGCAAAATAAAAATGAAGCACTGAACACATTTAAAAAAAAAACAAAACTCAAGAACACTTTATTCAACTTAAAAAACTAAGAGCCAAATCTTAATTCTTAATCAAAAATAGTTAAAAGGAATCATGGAAAATGTTCACAAGTACTAAAAACAATAATACACACCCTCCCCTAATTTGGAATAAAATTAGATCACTTAAATGTTTAAATTGTTACAAGGAAATTCATATAATCTATGCATTTGGTACAGCATCCGAACCAGAAGAGGTTGCCCAAAAAATCGGTACTTACTTCCAAGACAACTTCAACGACAAGATCTACAAACAACAGTTTATTGACGACATCAAAACAACATCAGAAAATATACCATTAAAATCTGACATAAATCCTCCTTGTCCTGACCAATTTAACCTAAATGGAAGTAGCACTCTTGCAATGCAGAAGTAAAAGCCCCGCCCCC